AGATCCATTAGTGTTCTGATGGAAGCTTCACCCCAGCCCCTGGCATCCATTACCTGAAGGGTCTGTAGTGTTCTGGTGGAAGTGTCACCCAAGTCTTCCTCCCCCATCTCTCTCCAAACCCTGCTGCATCTAAGAAAGCCTGTCAAATGATGGCCCCTCCCCCAGAGATGATCAAGACCACACACACAGGGTATTTAAACTGTCCCCCAGAAAACAGAGAGGTGGTTTTTCAGGTCTCTCCCATTTCCTCGCTAGGGGGCTGGAAAATCATCTGGGAGCGGTGTAGTCATTAAACATGGGCTTTTTCTGATTTGGTTTGTTGTGGTCTGATTTGGATTGCTGCATTGGCAGAGAGGTTTACCGGGTACAGAAACTTTTCAGTCAGCTCTGCCCCTTCACTTGACTTCCAGTGCACTGTGAGCAGTAGGAGTAACACACACACGCACATCACACACTCACATAATATACACACATCACACTCACATAACACACACATCACACTCACATAATATACACACACATCACACATAATACACATCATACACCCCACACATGCACACATTACACATGCTAACACATCATACACACTCATACATCACACACATTCACCACACACACTCACATATCACACACATTACACACACATCACACACACACACACACACACACTCACAAATAAAAATTAAAGATAAACCTTTAAAAGCCAACCGTGCTGTCCCTTGGCCAGCTCAGCCTTGTTGGCATTGTAATTTCCCATTTCCAGTTTGTAAATTGCTTTGTATGCAGCTCTATTAGCCTCTGCTTCCCCCTTAGATAGATGGATGAAAGTGGGCTTCTCTCTAGGGTGGCACAAGCATTTTCTCAGCTTTATTACAGACCGCCAGGCTGTCAGCTGGAAGGTTGTTTGCAGTCCTTCATCTGGGCCTGACCCTAGAAATAAATTCTAAAGCCATGCCTCTCCTGGGCCAGGACATGGCCTGTAGGAAGTGAGATACCTGAGAGAGTTTCCTTACTTACTCCCTTAGAAACTGTGCTTCAGGTTAGATCTGAAACCGGGTGACATGTCAGGCTGAGGCTATGACCTCACCTTTGGAATATCTTTATGTGAACATGCAGTACACATAATATTAATCATGTCGTCTGGGGAGTGTCTCGCAGTGCTGCTAGCATGGGGAATGAGTGTCTCCCTGGATGCTCCCCTCACCAGCTGTCTGGGTGGTTCGAATGTGCCGACTCAGCGGATGCTTCTCAGCCAGACTCCAGGTGGCCATGGTCTTTCTTGTGTGGAGCTGGGGCTTGCAGTAGCCCTGGGGTGAAGCAGAGGTTGGGGCCAGGCTGGTGCATGAACTCTCCACCTCGTTTTCTTCCTCATCGATGATGCCATTTTGAGCTGTTGGCTTGAAGTGGAAGGGTGTGACCTTTGTTTTAGCCTAGAGCAGAAGGCAGGGACAAATGTGCCAGCAGTTCCTGGGGTGGAAGGAGATCATTGGGCCAGGAGTCAGGAAGCCAGAGGTCTGCTTGGGCTCCGCCATTCTCTGTGTGACTTGATGCAGTTGCTGTCTTCCCTGGGCCTTGGCTTGCTCTCTGGAAAGGGAGGGCTAGGGCGGGTCCTTTCTCAGCATCCTTAGGACAGGACAGGGTAGTGGATATGGATGGAGAGGAGACGTGCTGTTGGTTTGAGTTTCAGAGTTGAGAGCTGGATGCGGGCATGTTGACTCTGAAAGACATGTTAATAACCATTGAACACATGAAACTCCCTGTTTCCCCCTGGTGATTCATTCCCGTCCTTGGAACCTTTGTCCCAATGTCCCCTTCTTGGTGCCTAGCATTAGTAGTGATCAGTGTGTTCACTGACGTCTCTTTCCCTAGGCATTTATATCTGCTCCCGTGAGCATGCTTGTCCTTGGTCCTACTCTAGTGCACCGCCATTCTTCTGTCGCTGTGCTGAAAGTAATGAATGAAGTATCTGAATTGAAGATGGAGGTAGTTAAAAACCGTGTCAGCAGTTGGAGGTTAATTGGTTGTGGCGAGCTCCCCTGCCATCCTTTGTTGCTCTGTGCTGGTGACTTGCAAAGAGCTGCCTTTGCCTTTTTAGATCCAATAGTTTTTTCTTAAATCACATTCTTAGGGCCTTCTCCTTGATATACATATTTAAAATAACACTCAGGTAAGCCTAGAAGCACAAGACAAAACCTAACTCCATGTGTGCTTAGGCTTCGTGATAGGTTCCCGTGTTGAGTGTACCCTAGTTCATTCATCTCCTGAATTGATTGGGTTCTGTGCTGAGGTATGGGGAACAGGAACGTATTCAGAGAGAACCGGGAGGAAACAGAGCCTCATCCTGAGGTGGCTCATGCAGTTCAGATTCCCATCTCCTGGGGTCTCCCAGAGGAGAGATTCTTGGCTCAGCATCCTAAGAACTAGAACAGAAGATGTATTTGAAGCAGGGGGAGGTGAGAGAGTGAGTATCCTGTAGAACAGCTCTCAGTTCTGTAAATAAAAGCTGATAGATTCATTTTGGGATCTTTCCAGAAACTTTATTCCCAGGCTATTTATTTTAGGTTCCTATTTTAAGGTTTGTTTTTTTGGCAAACAAACCATAAAGGATTGGAGTGCTCTCAATTCTTAGTAGGGAAACTTCCAACTTGGGGGGGGTGATCTGGAGCAATCAATTACCATGCTCATGGGCTAGTTGGCTGTTCTCACAGTGGGCACTGCCCCAGGCAGCCCAGGAAGACAAAAATGCAGGGCATACAGTCTGGATTGAGATAACACACACACACACACACACACACACACACACACACACACACACACACACACACCCTTTGGACATCACTGGGCTGTGTTTCCAAGCAGACCCCAGACCAGAGAAGCAACAGAAGTTGCTTCCTGTCTTTCACACCCAGTGGGTATGACCAGTACCAGATATCTGCTGTGGCCATCAGCTGTGGCTGAAACCACATTGGGCCTGCCTATGTCTTGCCTGGCAACTTTGAGATAGTTTATTTTTTTTTATTTTTTTTTTAAGTATGTAGTTTGGGAAGTTCTGCTCTTCCCATGTATTAAAGTCATACATACATACATGCAAAGGGATTTTTAAAAAAATATTATTTATTTATTTATTTATTTATTATGTATACAACATTCTGCTTCCATGTATATCTGCACATCAGAAGAGGGCACCAGATCTCATAACGGATGGTTGTGAGTCACCATGTGGTTGCTGGGAATTGAACTTAGGACCTTTGGAAGAGCAGTCAGTACTCTTAATCTCTGAGCCATCTCTCCAGCCCGCAAAGGGATTATTGATCTGCCTGTGAATGAAAAGGAATTTAAAAAAATCTAAAAATTGTGTCCTTGTAGTTTTAGCAAGGTGAACTATTTTCGATTTTTAAAATGTTATTTATTATTGTGTGTAAGTACATGCATGTTGCAGCACACATATAGAGATCAGAGGACAGCTGTGTGGAATCCATTCTCTCTTCCCACCTTTGCACAGGATCTGGGAATTGAACCCTGGCTGTTAGGTTTGCATGGAAAGCACTTTTACCCGATGAACTATCTTGCTGGCCCAAGGTGAGCTATTTTTAGATATGAAAAACCCATGTGGTGGAGAAGGGAGGAACAGGCTGGGGAATCAGACACATTTAGGGTGGAAGCAGTGCTATTCTGCAGCTTTGTTTACTGGGATTGGTTATTTGATCTCTTTGAGCCCCAGTTTCCTAGCGATGTAGAGGAAAGTTTGAAGTGTAGAAAAACAAAGCAGTTTATACTCCATAAAGATGTCTTTTGCCACTGTTACTGCAGTGTGTGGTGGTGGTTGTTCTTATCTTACATTGAATCTGTGTATTCTAACACCAGAGGCCAGTAGGCCTCTGTCGTTCATGAAACAGACTAGTCACACAGATATCCACTGGCAGCCACAGACCTGGGGTCCAGATATTCTTAGGGCTCCTCTTGTGATACCAGCACATTTCATGAGGGTGTGTGTGTGTGTGTGTGTGTGTGTGTGTGTGTGTGTCTTGCTTGCTCTGTATAGTCTAAATTTTAATTATCTAGAATTCTTGGGCCTCTTTGTGGAGCTTCCCCTACCCCAGTGTGGAGAGTTGAACCTCAGGGATTTGTACGTGCTAAATAAGCACTGCCACTGGGCAACATCCCCAGCCCTGGAATGCTTTTCAAAACAGAAAGACTAGGCATCAAAATTTAATTTTCTCCAGTGTTTGCAGGTCCACATTTAGCCTCCCCACAAATTCCCAGGTGCCACTGGAGGCCAAGGACACAGTTCCTCCTAAGCATGTTCAGTGGGTGAGAATAGACTTACTTGACAGTTTCAGTGTGACATGTGAGTAGATGGAGAGGAGAGGTACAAACTCAGACACCCAGGGCATGGGATAGTCTTTAGAGTGACAAGAGAAAGGGTAAGTGGATTGAGTAAGCTGGAGCTAGGATGGCAGGGTCTTGGACAGAGGAGATACACAACAGAGACACCGAGGAACAAGCTGGCTCTCATGGACCAGCCTTGGCTTCAGAGAGCACATAGTCCTTCTGTAAGAGGTGACAGTGGTGTGTATCTGTGACCAAATGTCCTGAGATTTAGTGGGGGACAAGATGGTTGGCATTGTCTACATTTCTAAGAGGGGCTAGAACCCCCTCTTAGACCAGTGGGTGGTGATGGGCTGAGGAGGATTCTGGGAAACAATGTGTAGATGGGGTAGCTGAGAGTCTTCCAGTGTGCTGCAGACAAGGGGACCTGATGGGATGTTTTCTCTCATGTCCCTGGCTGCTTCTTTGGGCACAGTGATTTGATTTTGGACTAGTAGCGATTATTTCTGCTCCTGCAACCTGACTTTTTGTGTGTGTGTGTATTCTGAGGGTGTTCTCCATGTTCAATTCCCGGGACTTGTTTGGTCTTGTTTGTGACCAAGAAGGACCTGGCTATCCAGGACAGGACTGCTGGGTAGGTACCTTAACAGCTCCTCCATTTGCTCTTGCAGCGCACGTGGAAAATGAGGAGCAGTACACCCAGGCCCTGGAGAAGTTCGGTGGCAACTGTGTATGCAGAGATGACCCAGACTTAGGAAGTGCGTTTCTGAAGTTCTCTGTGTTCACCAAGGAGTTGACAGCACTCTTCAAAAACCTGGTCAGTGTTCACTGTGTGTACCTGTGGTGTATGAAATGCCTGTAATGCCGCCCTGAGAAGATGGCCCAACAGCCAGCCAGCCAGCCAGGATGGCTAGGTTCTAATAATCTAGGGAGATATTCTCTGGCTCTTGCAGAGTCTAAAATAACTATACTTGGTAAATTTGGAACTAAGTTTACAGTTAACTTTTTTTTTTCTTTAATGTGACTTAAATTCAGCCTGACACTTTAAATGCTCAGGTGCAGGATGGAATGGTAAATTCTCTCATCTTCTTCAGGGCCCCTGATTTTAGTTTCTAGTAGTTTTAAAAGTGAAGACTAGTGTGTTCCAGGTGGTGTCTAGTATTCTTTTCTGTGGCTGTGAAGAGACTCCATGATCAAGGCAACTTATAGAAAGTTAACTGGGGACTGGCTGGCTAACAGTCCCATAGGGTTAGCATTCATGACCATCATGGTGGGAGCATGGCAACAGGCAGGTGGGCAGGGCAGGCAGGGCAGGGCAGGGAGGGCAGGGCAGCAGCAGGCAAGCAGGGTGCTGGAGCAATAGCTGAGAGATCCACATGCCATACAAGGCAGAGAGACAGAGCTAACCAGGAATGATTTGGACTTCTGAAACCTCAAAGCCCACCCTCCATGACACACCTCCTCCAACGAAACCACACCTCCTAATCCTTCCCATACAGTTCCATCAACTTGGGACCAAGCATTCAATATATGAACCCAGGGGGGGCATTCTCACTCAAATACCACATGATAGCAGTGATCCAGGTTCATCATATCTAATAGACTCTTATCTTAGGAAGCAAGGTCACCTATACTCAAAGCCCAGAATTACTATGGATACTTAAAGGATTTCATGACTGAGAGAAAGACCTGGCCCCATGAGCAGGGAAGCACAGGGTGGACACCTGTGGCCATTGTTTGGCAGCATGGGGGTGGACCAGCCATTTCTTGTGCTTGCAGCTCAGCACTGTTCCTTCTGTGGGAACAGGATTCTGAAGAAGTGAAGAAGCAGGCGAGAAGGTTTGTGATCCTGCCCTGGTAGGTGGTTGATTCCCCAAGTGGGGTGGCCCCTAGAGATCTCAACAGCATTTCCTTCCTGTTTTTTTCCCCCAGCTTCTCCTAAAGGCTCCAGAAGGCCAGGTCAGGCCTCAGTCATGCTCTCTGTGGAGGTCACAGGCCAGCAAATGTTTTCATTTCTCCTCATTGCTCATCCCAGAGGCAGCAGTGGTGGTGGTTGGTCTATGGGGCTGCATCAGTGGGTGGTATGCAGGGAGTGTGGTATATGAGTTTATTACAGGAAGGGCAGAGAGCAGGATCTTTAGGGTTGTCTCTCTACTCAAGTTCACTTGAAAATACTTTCTTATAAGCAAACAGCTGTCACAATGCTTAGGTTGTTTTGCTTGCCAGTGTGCTTTAACTTGACTGAATTTGAAACCTCTTGGCATTATAAAATTTGTCACTCTTGGTCCTTGCCCCAAACAGTGGCAGGCTGCATGCTGCCTCTTAAAGCCTGCTTCCACCAGGATTGTGGCAGATGTGGTTCAGAAGGGAGGAAGGACCTCCTTTGCATGACCCAGGGTAAAGCTCTCTAGAGATCGATGTGGCAGGTTCCCTAGGGACAAGTCACTGTGCTCCCAGAATTCCAAGTCCCTCAGTGGAGAGTGGCCAGTCAGCTTCTTAGAGCTTGCCTTGTGAGCACAAATAAGCACCCTCAACAGTGAGAGACATGGGGGAAAGAGAGTGATGCAGAGGGCAGAAGACATTAAAGCAGGTGTATATGCAGGGCAATGTCAGAGAGACCTGACGAAACACTGCATATGTAGGGGAGGTGGGGTGTTTCTGGTTGTTGGGGGAGTTGGGGATGTGGGATACTATTAGTATTTGAAACTATAAAATTAAAATCTGGGGACAGCCTGGTCTATGGAGCGAGTTCCAGGCCAGCCTTCAAAGCTACAGAGAAACCCTGTCTTAAACAAACAAACAAACAAACAAAAAAAAAAAAACCTGGGGGCTGAGGAGATGGGCTAGTTGGCATTGGTAGAACGTTTGCCTCATACACATGAAGGTGTGAGTTCGAATTCCCAGGATCCATGTAATTCCGTTGAAGGCAAGATGGGAGGCAAAGCTAGGTGGACCCCTGGAAGCTGGCAAGCCAGCTAGTCTGGCCTACATGGTGAAGTTCCAGAGAAATAAGAAGCCAGGGTTGTATAGAATGAAATCTGAGGACCAACACCCAAAGCACTTGGGCTTCTGCGTTTAAGCATTCTACACACACACACACACACACACACACACACACACACACACCCCTGACAATACTGTGTAGAACTAATATCTCCTGGAAAACAGATCAAGAACTAAAGGGAAAACATCAATTAGGAAATAGAATAAGGATAAATCCACCCACTAGCCTTGGACGCAGCAGCACCACTGGAAACTAAGATGTGGCAATGCCCTGAAATACTGAGGAAAGAATGGCTCTGCTTGGCCTCAGGCCCAAGCCACTGAGTTTGAGCATAGGATTAAAGATGTTAGCACACACAAGGCTCCAGATAGTTAGGTTAGCATGGGTTAAGTTAGCATGCGTGGCTTCTCCAAAATCCCTGCAGGATGCACTTTAGCAAACGAAGAGGGAGGTAGAGAAAGAGGAAGTGTGGTTCCAATGGAAAGGTGAGCAGTGAAAGTCAATTGAGGAGGATGGAGAGAGCAGCCTGCCCCGCTCAGCTGGGGGAGATGTTGGAGGTGGGTGGGGAGGCACTTGCACTCTCTCCCGGGCAACTAGCTTTTAAAATGTCTGCTCACTCATTTCTGTGGACCTTCTTAGTTTATTTTAGATATAAACTAAAACCAGCCAGGTGCTTTCCCACTTTTTTTTTTTAAGCTCATTTAATCCTCCTTCCAATTCCATAAATCGAGTCAGTTTTACATTTGCTTTATAGCATGGATGACAGAGAGCCCCGATGGTGTACAGAACTGAAATATCTCTATGGAGGATCAGAGCACTTGGCCACTTGGGAGAGTGTACTGCTAATAAAGAAAGGCCACCTGCAATATCCCATACCTTGGGTTCTGAAGTTACTCGTGTAGGCAGCTGCGTAGCTAACCCAAAGCAGTTCTCGCCATCTCTTATTTTCTCTAAAGTGGAGAGCAGAGCAGGGCCTTGGTGCTGTGTTTGGTGCATTTCTCACCGTACTGTGGCTTTGCCACTTGCAGTACTTGAAAACTGTCATGGAGTGCAGTTGCTGTCAGACTTTGTGCAGAATGGAAGTCTCGGAGCATGATGTGGTAAGCATTCATGGTGAGGCAAACGTGTGCATTAAAGATTCTCTGTTTCCTTTGCTTCTGGTGACTGCTGTGCACAAGAACTTGTTCTACTACCTTGTGAACATGGGGTGCATGGCCTTAGCTGTTGAAGGACTGAGCCTGGATTCATGTATAACCCAAACTCATGAGCCTTTCTGATGTTGACACCCATGGAGGCTGCTTGTTGGCGTGTGGGGCCATGGAAGGACGGAAAGTGAGAGAAAGCAAGGCAGGGTTAGATGTGGTAGAGAGACATGCAGACAGCCTGAGGGCTGAATTCCCCGCTGAAAGAACCAACAGTGAGATGGCTTGCCTCACATGGCCAACTTGGAGGCAAACTGAACAAACGAGAAAGGCTTGCAAAGCGCTGATTGGGGTTGTTCCGACCTGGGAACTTATGAAACCTTGCCCTGGGAACTTTGAGGACACATGCCTCATTTTAAGTTTCAGAGCTTTCACTTTGTGAAGTGTGGAGCGTTGGTCTTGTTTTCTAGCAAAGATGAAGACAGAGAAAAATCTTCCATGAGCCTAACTTAGCCTTCACCATGTTGTAGATTGTAGACTCTGTCAGCCATAGGAGTGCTGAGACATGACTGAGCTGACTTGGGGGGTCATCTTTTCGGGGGCGTTGTACTTTCAAAGTCTTGTTTTGGGTCACCTGTCCCATCCCGCTTTTTCAGGGTCTTTGATCTCCCACCGACATTTAAAAAGTATTCAGTATAGTTGCAACTCTCAGCTCTACCTCTTTCCAAAAAGAATAATAATTACCACCTGCCTGTTTGGAGGTCTGGTAGGATGCTTCCGAAGCAATTGGAACAGACAGCTCCAGGGAAGGCCGACTTAGTATGAAATGAGTTTTTCCTCCTAACAAGGTGAGACTCTCACCCTTAAAAAGCCTGAACCATCGGGGCAGAACAAAGGGAGAAAGCAGGCAGCTTCAGAACTCTATCTAATGTGGTGACATTAAACAGGTCGCAAAGGCATCATCCTCTTTGCGACTCTGTCCTCCTTCTCAGACACGCATGAGAATTTTGGAGAGATTTCCGGAGGACCACTTCCATGTTGAGATTTTAATGACAAGCTTCAAACCAGGACAGATTTCTGCAAGGTCAGCTGCAGATAAATGTTCCCCTCCTAGGAATGGAAAGTAGAGGACTTCACAGACTCAGAACCTGCTCAAGTGAAGACCAGAGACCATCAGAACAGGAGCCAGGGAGGCAGGACTGAGGGCAGTTACAGTGTGAGAGCCGCAGGACCCTGAGCTGAGGAATTTCCACTCTCTCATACCAAAAGAGGAACAAGGAGCTCCACCAAGCATCTCCTCCCTTTGTCATCATTGCTCTATGCAGCCTGGAATTAGAAGACACCATAGCTGTGAGTGAGGCCAGCTAATAGGCTCTGTGTGGAGGAGCAGCAGCAAGTAGCTTTAGTATGTGATCTGCCTGGCAGAGGGTGGCTCCACCTCTCCTACTGTTGCTTCCTGAATGTTGGGATTGAAGGTGTGCACCACCATGACAAAGTCTGAGAAAGTGGGTAGCACTGTGGTGGGAGGGAATAGGTGGCCTAGGCTATCCTGTCACAGGGAGGAGAGCTGAGACAAGGCCTAGGACCAAGTTGGGCACTTGCTGTATACAAGCTGGTGCTGTATGGGCCATGTCGTCTGTCTTTTATGAACACCTACTGTGTGCTTTGTAG